ACTAACTAGTAACCTATCTGCCATTGCCATTAGCCCTTGACAGGCTCAGACTACAGATTATGGAGGGATATTTGAAACCGCAATACCAAGAAAGTTTACTCATTACAATATGGTGCTAACACGTGTAACATTTAGGATGCTTTTGATATCAAGTTTTGCTGGTTAGCTTTGTCCTTGACAGGGTACAAGATGACCTACAGTCTAAAACATGAAATTTCTGAAATTGTTTTGTTCAAAAGAAATAATGGTAAATTAAATACTAGGAAATTAATATAAAATAGGAAAAATACAAAGTTCAGTTCAATTAACAACAGCAAAAACATTAAAATGGTCCAAGAACTGGTAACTTAAACAGGGTTCTTACAGATACTGCAAAATACAATTCCAGGACTTTCAAGGACTTTTTTGGTTTTCAAGGACTAAAATCAGATCTCACTTATCAATCAATATTGTTATTATCTTTCAAATTCTAATAAACAAACTAATAAAACAAAATGGTACAAATAAAGTGCAGCACATGCAAAGAATGCAATGACTGTGGCAACTTTAACATTTGAAAGGATACTATGGCAAAGTTATTGCTTTCCTTATTCAAACTGATTTTTTTTTTCATGAATATATGATTGACCTAAAGAATGAAAGCTATATCAGACACTTGGAAAATTGTGAGTTTTATCATGCTCACAGACACTAGGGGTGTGACAATACACTTAGCTCACAAGGTGAGACGAAATGCAGATACTTGGTTCACTAGAACGAGACAATGTTTTAATACTTTAAGAAATTTCCAAATGACAAAATATTTGTCTTTTAATCACAAAAAGTAAAACAATGCAGTTGTATTTTGAAATGTCTTAACTAATCTAGGGCTTAACTAATGATTATTTTGCTAATCAAGTAATCTACTGATTATTTTGACAAGTGAGTAATCTGATGTTTTTTAGTTCTATACAAATAGAACTAAGTGAAAAACAGGCTTTAATATTTATATATAAAGTATTATTTAAGTACTATTTATATATAAAGTAACGATGAGGCAATAATAATTGGCCTCAAATAAAGTATCAAAACCAAGTACATGGTTTTATGGAACAACACTTTATTAAATACATAATGTAATATGCCTATATTCTAACAAATACCTGCAGAGGGCGCTAACGACTTGGTGATGTTTCAAGAATTTCAACGACGTTTAAATCCATTTAATTTTAATATTTGGCCACATGCAAAGTCAGAAACGTTTATTTTGAAATCACAATGTACAATAAATCGCATATTTAGAAATATGTTGTATTCTCCTGTGTTGGCATAGGTTTAAATAATTAACAAATCAAGTGAGTTTTCCCAGATGAACGTTAAGCAACCCAAACTCACCGCACATGCAGAGGAAGAGTTTAGCCCCTTTCACACATACAGTCTTTACTGATAAATTACCATTAAGAGATCATGTGTGAACAGGACCTTTTAAAAAATACAGGTAAATGCATTCTGGCAATCATATCATTCTTATGGAGATGACGTGATTACTCTGAATATATGATTGACCTAAAGAATGAAAGCTATATCAGACACTTGGAAAATTGTGAGTTTTATCATGCTCACAGACACTAGGGGTGTGACAATACACTTAGCTCACAAGGTGAGACGAAATGCAGATACTTGGTTCACTAGAACGAGACAATGTTTTAATACTTTAATAAATTGTAAAAACTTTAAAAATTATATTTTGAAATGTCTTAACTAATCTAGGGCTTAACTAATGATTATTTTGCTAATCAAGTAATCTACTGATTATTTTGACAAGTGAGTAATCTGATGTTTTTTAGTTCTATACAAATAGAACTAAGTGAAAAACAGGCTTTAATATTTATATATAAAGTATTATTTAAGTACTATTTATATATAAAGTAACGATGAGGCAATAATAATTGGCCTCAAATAAAGTATCAAAACCAAGTACATGGTTTTATGGAACAACACTTTATTAAATACATAATGTAATATGCCTATATTCTAACAAATACCTGCAGAGGGCGCTAACGACTTGGTGATGTTTCAAGAATTTCAACGACGTTTAAATCCATTTAATTTTAATATTTGGCCACATGCAAAGTCAGAAACGTTTATTTTGAAATCGCGTTGTACAATACATTGCATACTTAGAAATATGTTGATGTATTCTCCTGTGTTGGCATAGGTTTAAATGATTTACGTTACAAATTAAGTGAGTTTCCCCAGATGAACGTTAAGCAACCCAAATTCACAGCATATGCAGAGGAAGAGTTTAGCACTTTTCACACATATAGTCTTTACTGGTAAATTACCATTAAGAGATCATGTGTGAACAGGACCTTTTCAAAAATACAGGTAAATGCATTCTGGCAATCATATCATTCTTATGGAGATGACGTGATTACTCTGAGCTGTTTACAAAGCTCCGCTGCTTTTTAAATAGCTTTTCTATGTAAATATGACACTAGATGGAAGTCTTTGACCATTGCGCCTCGCAGCTTTTTCAATGTGTCGCGCTCGAGACCCAGGCTTCTTTTCCATTCATCAGCTGCGACTCAGCAATTGGATACTGTTATGCGCGTCTCGTGTTTATAAGAGCAAAAACTTCTGATTAGCTAGTAATGTTAGTTTGGTTGAGAGTGAAAGCTGTGTTCCTCTCATACATTGGTAGGCGAACTCATGAACTCGAACGTGATATCAACAAGTGTTTTTAAATGTAGGAGTTTTTAAATGTAGGATGACTGTCTCGCAGCCAAACGCCGCACACCGTAGATCCGGCACTGTGCCGGAGAACTTTAAGCCCTGCATTTATAAGTAAGCCATTCGCAGATTTCGACAATGTGACCAGTACAAGTAAAACCAGTGCAACCAGTACAAATAAAACAGATCTGAATTATATTAAATTAATTATTTGTAAATCTGTATCAAATATAAACTAAAACTAAAGTTTAGTTTATCTAAGTTATCTCAACAAATTATAAGTTGTTGTAATTAATTGCAGCAGCATTTTTATTTTTATTTTTTTATTTTTTTACAATGTGCTATTGATATTAACGTGAATTTTTCTGAATTGTGCATGGGCTATTTAACAGGGTTGCAAACGGCTCGTATTTTGTCAAAATTCGCTGTTTTTAAAAGAAAATTAGGTTACCTACATGATTCGTGCAAATTCAAAGTGTTTGACTACAATAGTGGCTAGTGAGCCTCACAATCCTGCTTCTGGACAACTGAAGGCGTTGTGATGCAGATTTTTTCTCAAATATGTAGTTTCTTGAAGATATAAATATCTACACTGTATACAGTAAATAACAACACTAATCTGCATGTAGGGATATGCCGGTATCAAATTTTCATGTTGCGATTAATTGCTAATGATTTTATCACGGTATACGGTATTCTCACATGTTCCGCCATGTGCTTCTCGTCCGCGCTTGTTTACGTCAGAGTGCGCACGCGTCTTTCAAACAGCATACACGTTGTGCATTTTGACCAGTTGATGGGAAAAGTATTCTTAAAATGCATTCAAAATTCGGAATAATTTGTAATATATAATTATTCACAGTATTTAGAAGTGCCCACGATAACAATATCGTGCATATTCATTACCGTGATATATCACATTACCGAATACCAGCACAAGTCTATCTGCATGTTAACTATAGTTAACACAACTTAACATAAAGCTAAATAAGAAAAAACCCTAATATGAGTTTTATTATAAAAATATTAGTTATGTAATTATGCAAGTTATTATACATATTATTTTATTGTTATATCTATGTGATACTTAACCCCCCCCCCAATTTTATTAAATTGTCCTATTTGTAATTTATTTTGTAATATATTTCTTTAATCAAAGACCTGTCTCTGCTTAGTTTTTTGATGATGATGATTATTTTTTATTTTATTAATCATTAAGTATAAATATTGATTATTATTAAATATGATAAAATATTAATACTTAAATTCAAATGTTTGCTTGAAGCCTGTTCTTATACATTCTCACTTCCTCAGATCTGTTATTGTGTCATATTTTTCACCCTTTGTGATTTTAAGTCCCTGATTTCATTACATAGCCATACAGGATATTGAGTCGGTTGTTTTTGAAAGTTATTTTCAGACCTTGGCTGAGAACTGGACCTCTTAAGACTTTAATTGAATAATTCTTACAGTTTAAAACTGTAAGAATGTTAAAGTGCTGCTCCATTTTCAGCATCATGCTTGTGTCTGTCTTTACACTGTCAACATGGATGAAAATGAGTTTTCTGCAGTCAGAGGTTCATGAAGAGTTTCATGAAAATATTATCTCAGCTTCTGCCTCCATGAGCCGTCCACTGAGTTTATTTAAAATATCTTTGATATTGTTTTAAAGATGTGTTATAGTCACGGACCGCAGCATTTGCATGTGTTGTTGACAATGGCAACAAAGGAACTAGATAGAAAATGAACTGGAATCTCCTTTTAATCACAATTCAACTCCCACACAACTGCCATGAACGCATATCTGCATTCATAAACAGTCAATTCAATTCAATTCAATTCAAGTTTATTTGTACAGCGCTTTTCACGATACAGATCATTGCAAAGCAACTTTACAGCAAATTAAGTTTCTACAATATTTAGTGGTAGCTTATCAGTGGTGACTGTCAGTTAATGTACATATGGCAGAAATGTACGGAAAAATCAATTAAAGACGTAATCAAACAGACGATGAACACTATTAACAGCAATTACTCTATGATGCTATCAAACTTATAGCAAAATGTGGAAGTTCTGTATGTTGTTTCAGGGTTGGCATCATCTGAGGTCCTCTGAGGGGTTGGCATCATCTCTTCTCAGGTGTTCTGGATCCAGACTGAAGCTTGTGTAAATCCTAGTTACCACGGGATGTTAATCCCGTGCCAAAAACAGAGAAACAAATAGAGACATAATTAGCGTAGCTGCTGTTCCAACCAAGCAAAATTGATTTGTTTAACCCATGAGAGAGATGTGGAGAGAAGCACAAAAGAAATACAGAAAAAGAAAAAAAGAAGTGAATGCCATTATGAACCTGACCCCTCCATCTCTTGAAGCATCACTGAATGAAGATAACGCTGTGGCACCAACAAACAACAGCACACCAGAGCCTTCTGTCCAGTCACATTCCTTTACCAAATCTCCTCCTGAATGCCCCCCTGAGAATCTACAGGTGTCTGAAGTGTCCATCCCAAGCAAGTTGATAGTTCAGAATGATAATCTGAGGAAACAACTTAAGAAAGTTAAAAGGCAAAATCAGGAACTTATGAAAAAACTGAAAGAAGAACACTCCAAAGCAGAAAGATACAGGAAAAAATGTGAACGGAAAATAGAGCAAAAGCCTGCTCGCACTATTAGTGAGAAGTTTCACTCCCGAGCAGCTAAAAAATTGTCCAGTGAGAGAAAAAAAAGGGTTGAGGCTTTTCTGCAATTGGATGAGAACAGCATTTTGCTTCCTGGAAAAAAGGACACAATTGGAAGAAAAGATAAGAAACAAAGAAGGATCCTTACAAGCACACTTCAAGACCTTCACAAAGTCTTCAATGATAAGAGTGATAAATTGCACAGAATGTCTTACAGGCAGTTCACCAGATACAAACCATTCTACATCACTCAACCAAAATCATGCGATCGCAACACCTGTGCATGCCATCAAAATGAAAACATGAGGCTTCTGATTGCAACTCTTTCAAAAAGAGGACTAATCACAACAAAAAGTCTTTCGACACTGCTGTCATCCATATGCTGCAGCACAGATAATGACTTGTGCATGAGGCGGCAATGCACAGAATGCTGTTTTGAGGAGGTTAAGTTCAGAGGGCATAATCCTGATGAGAGGGTCACATGGGAACAGTGGCAGAGAGAGCCTATTACAGTCGGAGAAAAAAATGACAAGAACTGGGTTAAAAGAACCAAAGCGGGATCAATTGGAGAACTGCTAGGAGTGTTCCAGAAAGACCTTGAGGAACTGGCTAGTCATCACTACAACTGGATTCATCAAGTTAGAGAGTTGAGACATCTCAAAGAGAACTTGCAAGACAATGAAACGGTCCTTCATATTGATTTCAGTGAAAACTATGCTTCCAAGCTTAACACTGAAATTCAAGCCTTTCACTTTGGAGGCAACAGGCAACAAGCAACTCTACACACAGGGGTGGCCTATGGTAGTGGTGGGTCCCAGAGCTATGCAACTGTATCACAGTCTCTGAGACATGATGAAAGGGCAGTGTGGGCTCACATCAAGCCAGTTATAGAGGACTTTAAGGCCAAGAGTGATCATGAAATTGATACACTCCACATCCTAAGTGATGGTCCTGCAACCCAGTATCGTAATCGTGCAAACTGCTTTCTACTTAGCAGCATTCCATACTCTTGGGGTTTCAAAATGGTCACCTGGAACTTTTCTGAGAGGTCACATGGCAAGGGGGCTCCTGATAGAGTAGGCGGAGCTCTCAAGCGCAAGGCTGACAAGTATGTCCTTGGAGGTGGATATCTTCAAACACCTAAAGATTTGTTCAGTTATCTTTGCCAAAACACAGAAAGGGTGACCGTTAAATGGGTTGAAGAAGATGAAATCTCTACCATGGATAGCTTGCAGTCAGTATCATGTCTGTTAGACTTTCTCTTGCCCATTGGAAGTTAGTGAAATTGTATAATCATTTGAGCTTCTTCAGAGCAGAATCAAAAGAGGGCTTTTCATATTAACTCAGTTTTCAATACCTTGAAGTCACCCAACCTCAGAATCACTTTCATTTAAGTGATTGAATAGTGTTGCATACCCAGACTATTAATTATCTTTGAAGTCTCATTTACTTTACAGCTTTCTGACCAAGTTCCGCCCACTCAAACAGGAAGTAGCTGTCTGGCTATGGCTAACATGAAAAAACAACCAATCACAGTTGTTTTTTGCTCCGAGATCCTGAATCTTATATTGCATATAACTCAGGGATATACCAAAAGTTGGAGCTTGTAAAAATATGTACAGTATTCATCAGACCATTCTACCAATATTTGTTTACATTTTATATACAGTATGTGTATGTATGTGTGTGTATATATATATATATATATATATATATA